GTTTTCATTGAAACGGACTGATCGCTTTGAATTACATCCTGTAGTAAACAGTTACCCATTAACTCGAAATCAGATGTACCACGTGGCGACGATAATAATGTAAACTGTACATATACAGTGAAATAAAATGTATTTAAAGAAGTGAATGTCATTTCATACGAACACCATTTTTATTTACAATTTTATTTAATATATCAAAAAAAAAAAATTGCGCTCGCTCGCTTTTATCGATCCATATATACAGATCAAATTTCTAGATAGAAATTAAAATTAATCTTTTGTCACGTTTCAATCGTTATCGCGATAATTCTGATGGATAAACACACCAAGGTTTCTCCCAGCTTGAATGGATTTGATAAATCTGATCTCGATGTAAATTTTTGCGCCGCTTAATTTGGCGCAACCGTTTCAAGCGCCGCAGAAAACATATGCAGAAAATCGATCGAACGATCGGGCCGAGCCCAGCTCGTTTCAATCAAGCTAATGTTCCAATAATTTGGATCCTGAGCAGACCTAGCTCAACCGAACGAACGAATGAATGAACGAAGGCCTCGCCTGCATCGCACCATTATAAAATACTCCAACACGCGTGTCCGAACCGATATATATTTGATTATCCACCAGTGTTGTAACACTTTTCGCAGGGTGCGTAGATAAATGGGAGAGCGCACTTTTGATCGATATTACATAAGAAAATTAAGAACAAACGATTCTATCCTTATTTTTCTTTCAAGCCTGTGTAATTTGAAATTTGAAATTTTTGACTCGAAGAAAAGAACATTCCTCAAATCTATTAACAAGAAGGAAACATTTTACATTTTACAGTAGAAATTATTCCATTGAACGGAAGAAGAACATTAAAATTGCTTCTTTCCAAAAAAGTACCATCACTTTAAAATACCTGGCACATCGTTGACATACAACTAAGCTTTTAAACAGAAGATATACCTCATGAAATTCAAACAGATTTTCAACGATCTCTACCTACATCTACATAATATTTTTCTTTCTTTTAAATAAGAATTAACTCTCACCTCGCTATCCGTTAGATAAATTTCGGACGGCCGAGTTGTCCGACAACCACCAAGTTTCCTCGATGGCTGGTCATCGCGCCAGCGCTGCTCCCGAGTGACCAGCACGTACCCTCGCTTTCTCGACGAACCGCCAAGCCGTCCAACCCCGCGGCAGTAAGGACGCGTTCGTGCTCACGCGAAGACGCGGACCGACGCCGCGGCACGTCGATGCCGCTTCGACCGACGCTTCCCTCAGCCTTGCACCCTCGTAAATGCACCCTGCCCGGCGACTCCGCCTCGCTGTCCACCTGGTAGCCAGGTAAGCCAGCCAGGTTTCTCCGTCGCGGGCCTCGCCTCCGCTCGCGTGACACGGTTGGTGTCCGATTCGAGAGGCCGGCTCGAGGATCGAGCTGGATCCGTTGCGCGGAATGTTTCTTTTTTTCCTCGAACAAGTGGAACGTTCGAGGGAGTTTGGAAAAAAAACGTTGCTCGAGTTGTGGAGTGCGGACAAGAAGAGGAGAAGTGGGAGATGTTTGAAAGTGTTTGAAGGAGTTGATCGAGGATCTGTTCGCGAGGATACGATACTTTCTTCGGACGATGATCGTTTTTGGAAGTTTCATCTCGGGGAGGAGTCATGCGAGGGGAGAAGTGGGAGATGTTTGAAAGTGTTTGAAAGAGTTGATCGAGGATGGAGGATCTCCTTGCGAGGAATGTGATACATTGTTTTTTTTGGATTATGATGATTTTTGGATGTTTCATCTCAACTCGAGTTCGAATTTGATGATCGGCCAGACCATTTTTTGGGATTTTGAACGCAATTATTTTGAAATTTCCGTCGCGTCCGTAGCGTGGTCGCTCTCGTGACTGGTGCACGAGGTCGTACTTGAAATTTCATGGGTCATATCTTTTTTTGGTCTGGCCGGATAATATCTACTACGGAATCGACGTGATTATTATAACGGCCACCTTGACTTACGTTGATCGTTTGGAATCGAGGTTCTTCATTCAAGGTGGTTCTTTGTTTCTTCTTGGTGTGTTTAGATATACGTTCTCCGTTTCATTCTACCTTCAAATTTCAATTTCAATAGACTTTGTCAATAAGACGACGAGTTGGTTTCCTTTTTGAAAGAAGAAAAACTCACGCACCTTCCTCGTGGCGGTGTTTGCGGATGGATTCGTATCAGATCGATAAAAGTCCGACTATTCCACTTAGCTGGTCAAAAGGAAAAATCTTGCGGAATTTCCTTCCTCCTTGAGACCGAACGACACCGGTCTCTCTACTTTCCAACAATCTCCTTCAACACCATTCGAGCATTTCTATTATTTATCGAACTGAAAATGATGCATAAGAATCGTTTCGCTTTTGAATAGCGATCGATAAAAAATCCATCAAGATCCAGGCTCGATCTTAAGCACTCGTATATTTTCCACGTTTTGGTGGCGTTTTTTGGCACCAAACGACGATGATCACTTTATTTAACATATTGCTTTTTGTCGTGCCCGCGACATTATAGGATTAATATGCATGCACACGCTTATATTTTATGCTTATGATCGATGACAATTGTCAAGGAACATGGAGACTAAGAATAGTGAGAGAGAGAGAGAGATGAATTTGAATTAAAGCAACGACGCACGTGAGAAATCGAACGGAAACGAAACACGTGTATATACAACGTGTGTTTCCGTTTTCTAAAAAAACTTTTCGAGTTTTCGAGAAAAAAGAAAAGAAAAGAAAAATAGAATCAGAAAATTAAAATAACACGTACGTATAAGTGTAAACACGTCAACATTTTCGAATTAATTGGAATCGCGTCACGAAATAAATAATACACGACGAGGGGCGACGAAACATTTTATTCAAACTGGTTTATGCACGGCCAAGTAATTATGAAGGGACACGGTGAAAATGTAATTTCGTTTCGCGTGAAAATTTTTCGCGGTATTCCGCAATTTCCATTCACTATCAATTACGCGTACTTGTTCGTGCTTGAAATTTAACCGCGAGGTAAAAAACTTCCATTCTCTTCTTTTTTGTTCCGTTTTTTCCGTTTTACAGTCTATCAATAGAAAAATGCATGGGCCCGTATTCTGTTTAAAATTCAACCACGATTCGTTCACCTCTGAATTCGTGAAACATCTACTTTTTTTTTTTTTCAACGAGAACGAATTATTAAATGAAAATGAACACGAAGAAGAAATGTTAACGTGTTAATGTTTATTCGACGAATTTTTCTTCATTTCTTCAATCTATCTTTCATTTCTTTTTTTTTTTTTTTTTTTTTACCGGACGATTATTAAAGGAAGTATTCCAAAATTATTATTTCTCTCCTTTCGTTTCTTCTTTTTTCTAACATGCAATATTTTCTTTTTTTTTTTTTTTCTAGGGGAAAGAATCTCGCGCAACGCACAACGGATGCAACGCAAACGATGCGTCTGTGGAAAGAATTGCGGGAGAACGAAACCTCGAAACCGCTGCCCGTACTCGCGTAGCAATTAATTCACCGGTCTTTGCTCGACTGCTCTGTGAAATAATCGGCTGTTACATGATCGTTACGCCACGCCACGGAACTTCCTTGGCCGGCGGAATACACAGGTACACAATGTATGTTACAAAAGGGGGGTCGTTGACCCCGACCCTCGAGAGTTGCAACCCGACTGTTCTCCGTTAACGTTGATTTACCATTTTTCCCCTGTCTTCCTATCTCTGTCGATAACGCATATCGACGAAACGAAAAGTGTTACACCTAGATCTCGGCGAAGCAGAAGAAGAGGCGAGCGAGTTCTTAATCGGATTGCGCAACGGGTGTTAATTAAAAATGATGTACGTCGCTTTTTGCCGCGCCTCATCCCCGACGTTAAATCGTTATTTATAACGTCGATCATGGGATATGTTTCGCCTGGCCCTCGTTAAACGAGCCTCGTTAAGGAGAGGCGCGGAGAAAATTGATTAATCGGTGACAAACTCGGTGGCTCGTTTTTTGGTTTTTGCAATTAGATCGCACCCGAGTTAACGAATGAAGAACACGAAGTTGGGAATAATTGTTTACTTACTCGTTGATGATCATTATCGATTATCTCTCTTTTCGTTCTCTCCTATCATCGTTTGCGGTTTGATAATTGGCGCAAATATTTCTAACCGAGAGTTTTAAACGATCAATCCAAAGCTTTCACCGTATTTTCGATTCCCGATTGCAATTAGATAGAGTGCATAGAAATGCAGTTGGAAAATGCGGTCGATCATGTCACGTGCCTCTGCATTCATATCTCGTGCATAGTGTAATTTTCGCGGTGTGAAGGCCGTTAATGAATCTTCCTCGACGAGAATTGTATTTGTGCTATATGCTACTAGTACAATCACGGTGTGATTGTGTTATCGGAATCGGTTCAGAGATCAACCGAATTTCTATCTAATCCGACGAGATGATAAATCTCTTAGGAAGCGAATCACGTTTTGTAAAAATTGATGAAACGGTTCCTTAGGCATATTTTCTCAAATACGAATCGTTTCCCAGAGTTTTTCGCGTCCCAGTTCGAGTGTCTAGATGCCTTCAACGGATTCCCTATTAACAATTTAAGCAACTTAATTACCGGAAACTATCTCATCAACTGTTTCTCGAGCAGCCGGTGCCCTGCTTTATTTCGACACATTATTTCATTCAAGAACAATCCACTTGTTTCTTCTACATTCGTCTAACATTTGCATCGAACGATTACGATCCCTTTCTATTTATTTCACCACCATTCAACGTACGAAATAATAAAAATTAAGATTCCTTTCGAGAAGAAAAATTTTAACACATCATCGTTCCTTCGTCACTTTTTCTTTTTCTTTTTTTTTTTTTTTCAAGTAGAAATTCAATGGAATTCTGTTTGTTCAACATTTGAATAGACAATGTACGATTATCTTTTAACATCTTTTAGAGAAGAAAACGAAATTTCCTTTCCACGAGAAAAAGGTGTGCTACCATCTCTTCTCACATCGATGGACGTTGAAACAGAAACAGTTGGTTGGAGATACGCCTCCGCGATTCACGGGTGACGTATTTCTAGAAAGCGTGCACTAATTGTCGGGAAACGTTACACACGGGATACGGCAGATTCTCCATTGGCCTGCCCATTAATTTGAAACAGGCGGCCACTGTAAATCAACGCGTCTCGGGATACGGAGCCGTCACTGTGAGCCATCGGAACATTTCGGCCACGAGGTCGTTCGCGCACGACGATTCTTCGTTCAGTGTGTCGTGATTCGGGGGGGAATGTCATTGGACGCGATGCAGATTCTTCGAGGACCACCAGCGTGGAGCGGTTCGACGCGTTGCATCGGTTTCCTCTCCTCCGGATGGTTTCTGGATCGCCCTTTCTTCTGTGATTATTGATTATTCTCAAATTTGCGAATGGTTGTCAATAATAGTTTTAATTGTGCAGAGTATCTCGTAGTGTGGAGTCGCGTCGTGTCAATTTTTAAGAAAATTTTAAGAAAATTAGGAAGGAAGATTTAGAGTTGGAAAATAAGTGCGAGAAAAGAATTTTTCGCGAATAAGGAATTGTATATGTGATTGATGAATGAAAAAGCGAAGAAGGTTGAATCGATCTTACGATAAAACAATTTGAGCGAAGTAAGTGAATTCTTGCGCGCGTAAGATGTAAAAGAGTCTAATTAAGTCTTTTTTTCAACTTGTTTGATCGAAGCAATTATTCGTAAGAGAATGAATAAAAGAAACGTAACGGGAATGAAATCATAATAAAACACAACCGCGATGACCGCTTCTTATGATTCCATTTTGATCCATTTTTTTAATCATTTCATTTCATTTCGCAATTATTTATCATGTACGAAATTTAACACGTTCAATAAAATCCCTCTTCCGTGACGCGAATATCAACGAAGATCGACATTTCTACGAGAAAGAAGATTTTGTAAAAAATTTTTTTGCAACACAAAAATTGGTAAATTCTACGTAATAAAATAAAATCTTGCGATTTAAAAAATAAAAAAATAAGAAGAGGAAAAAAATTGCTCGAAATCCGCTTTCTTAACAAGAATTCTTCACATCCGGTGCCCTCATCGATCTTCTTTTTTTCTCGTTCGACCATTAATGCGAAACGCAAAAGAGAACACGAAAAAAAGAAAAAAAAAGAAAGAAAGAAAGACTGGAATACAGGAAGCAGTGGAAGGAATACGAAAAATGTAGTTCAAACAACGTTGCGGTATAATTGTAACAAGCATTCGCGTACCCATCTAAGCATTCCCGCGTATGAGAGCGTGAATAAAATGCGTGCAGGTTTTTATGTTCGCTCAATGAGGCTCGTTACAACTGGAGTGAGTAATTGCGATCGTTCATGGAATGATCATTGATCACGGATGTTGCACGAGCCAATCGTCGCGCTCGAATTCGATCTTCGAGCGATAAAGGAAGTGCGCGAGAAAGAAGGAAGAGTGTAAAACGCGATACACGAGTCTTTTAAAACAACTGTTGCCGTTTATTAGAAACGAGCAGCAGAATATTTCAAAGAAGGCTGATTCCTCGAACTTCCGAGACGAAGTTTTTTTACTCCTCGCGCAACCTCGGATCGAGGAGGATGCGAGGGCGTTGATAACATCCGAAAAAAAAAAAAAAAAAACGAAACCTATTCACGATTATCACGAGGGCCCGATGATGAGAGGGAACGATGAATGAAAAAAACTAGTTTTTGTCGAGATATTTTTAACAGTGTCGAGTGAGTCGAGTGAAATTATTTATTTTTTTGAATATTTTCCACGATGATGGTTTTCTTTTTTTTTTTTAAAATAATTACAGTGAATTTGAAATTCTAATAACAAATCGAAGTTTGATAGAAGATTTAATACTTTCAGACACTTTTCAGCTGTGGTTTTTCTTTGTTTCAGGCGAGAGCGACAACGGATTTTGCCGTCCTCCTCATTTCGGTCGTCTGCATGAAGGACTCGAGGTACTTTTTTTATTCAGTTGTTGGATAACTAAGTTTAATTCAAGCCATTATTGCTCGAGTATCTGTTTAAGGGGGTTCTCGTTTCGAGCATTAGAAGTGTTATTATGTCAAGCAGCGGTTGTTAAAAGTGTCTCCAGTTTGTTATTAACGTGCTCAGCGTCGCGTGGAACTTTTCTCGGAAAGAGATGTGTTTATCAAAGCAGAAGGGACTAGAAAGTTTCAGCTTGCGTCGCAGTTTGTCGACGATAGTGGTATCAAACGGCAAATATTATTACTAAGGGGAGCTAGAATTGTAAAGTCGAGAATGGAAACAAGTTTGGTGCACGTTGGTCCGTTTTCCCGTGCGTTTGAATCATACTCGAGCAATTCGTCGTTTGCACAACGTTGATGTTTTAGAATTAAGAAAGATAAGGAAATCGTTGAACATATAGAAATTCGAGACAGTTGCAAAGTTGAGTTTCCTCGATATATACGAAAATCCAGTCTAAACACAACCACTTTTCCTCCAAGCAAAAATACACGTACAGTCACAAGAAAAAGACACGTCTTTCCTTTTTACTTATTATTATTAGTGGCTCTTTGCAACTTGCAAGAATTTCCATAAAAACGTGGAGAACATCCGGATGGAAGGACAGATATTGTGAAAACGAGCGACGGAAAATTTAACAATTTAGAAGTTAAACGAATACTTCGAAACTTACCTCGATAATTTTAACGTTCGAGGCGTGATGACAATCGTGAGATAATTACGATACCAAACGGTCGAGATCGTTGATGAAAAGCGGATCAACTGATGATAAGCTACGAATAAAAATAAAATCCAATCCACTCGTACAAGTAACTTTTTAACTTTTCTAACAGATTTTCGGGTTACAGCTTCGGGGCCTCGAAAGGATGAGGCGACTCGAGGACGGCCATGCTCAACGACCGCCTCCGTTCAGGGTGCTCGCGGCACCCGATTACCTGTCACCCACCGCGATACCGCCGCCCCCGCCGCGTGCACCCGAGCCCTACAAGATCGCGCCCTCCTCCACGTCTTCCTCGAGGGCGCACCGGCGGTCCAGCTTCGTGATCATCGCGGACTCGAGGCCCGGCTCGCCCGAGACGAGGAGTCCATCCCCGACCTTGGCCACCGGCAGGGTCTCCCCTTTTCGAGGACGCGGCTTCAAGGGACCACCCCCGCGCTCCAGATCCAGGCCGCAGTCTCCCGAAATCGCGAGGAGGGGAAGGAACGAGAGACGAGGTAAGATTTATTTACCTTTTTCTCGTCCACGTTCTTCAAAAGTGGAAAAGAATTCGACTTGACTATTTTCGCAATAGTCAAATAATTTATATAACGCCGTTCGAAAATGTATGTGGACGTTCGTGTTGTTTGTTGCATCGTTATCCTTGTTTGTTCGAACGATCGATGTGAGAGTTGCCAACCTTGAAACGATAGAAGAAAAAATAATGAAACTTTTGTTTTCTACCAATTCTACGAGATCCTGTTTAAGATTAAAAAGAAACAGAGTAATTCTGTAATTATAGAAAATTTTTCTTTTTCTTCTTCGTCGAATTTACAATTTACGCGGGCATTTGATCGATTTACTCCGTCGCGAGACATTTTCATCGATTTTAAGAACGAAACGTCTCGTTACTCTGGTCAGTTTCAGTCTCGCAACAGAGTAGCCCAAGGAGAAGCCTGATCCCGCAACCGACACGCCAGCGTTCCACGTCTCTGAGCAAATCGACGGAGGGGCTCTCCTCGCCGAGGTTGGGCCGGCGCGCGGATTCGCGGAGCCGTTTGACGGATTCCAGGAATCGTTTGAACGGGAACGGCGGCGTGGCCTCTCGCCGACAAGCGACGAGGACGGCCGCCAAGCTTTCCCCGATCCAGGGGACCCCGACGAAACCGGAGAGGACGCCGCAGTTGGCGGCGAAACGGGATCGATCCGCGAAGGAATCCACGAATCCGGCGAGGCAACAGAAATTTGCCGCGTCTCCTTTGGGCCGCAATGCGTGGAACGCGAAGAAACAAAGCCAAGCTCCCGTTTCGGGGAAAGCGGGGAGCAAGGAGCGAGGAAGCACGTCGCCGTCGAAAATTCCGCTCAAGACCAATCGGGTCGGCTCCTCGAATTCCTTGAATCCGTCCAGGTTCATCACCATTTCCGATCACCCGTCCAGGAATAAAAAGGCGGTTGATAAAGGGTCGAAGGAGGTCGGCGCGGGCAACGAACGCGGGTCTGGGGTCCAGGAGGATGGTTGCGACGAATGCGGAGCGAGCGAGAAAGCTTCGAGCCCCGATCTGCACCTGATCGATCTGTTGAAACAGACTTCAACGGCGACAGGAACGTCGAGCGTGGTGAGCACGACGGCGACCACGGCCGTCCAGCCCCTTCACATCGACGCCAATGCGATCCTCCTCGACAAGGATGGCTTGGAAAAGAAAAATTTATCGAAACAACAAAACAACAGCCTTTCCAACAAATCTTCTTCCATCAACGCGTCGAACGACGATCCCCCCGCCAAACAGAATTCCCAAAATTCTCAGCTCGTCGGCGAGGATCACCGCGTCGTCGGTCAGACGAATCCTCCAGTCTCGATCAAATCCACGCACAAGTCTAACGGTAGTAATCGAACGAAGGGTGGAGCGGAGGGTGGTAGAAACGATTCTCCGATTCCCAGCGACGCGGTGAACGATCGGTCGAGGAGCAACGGCACGGTGACGAAGAGCGCGACCGACTCGGCCCCTCAACGCTCGAACAACAAGATCCAGAGCCCGATGATCGTCAACGATTATCCGAATACGAAGAGTTGCAGGCCTGGCCAACAGGACAACAACAAGACGGAGGAATCCGTGGCAATCCCGGGCGTGTCGAACGAGGTCGAGTCGTCGAAGGACTCGACGAGAAATTCTTCGAGCACGGAGAGGGGAAGCGCGGTGGTTTCAACCGTGAGCAGCGGTTCGGTGGAGGAGGGGAGGACGATTTCGAGCAATAATTCGGGAAGAAGGGTGGCGGGAATCGCGAAAAGCACCTCGGTCTCCGACCGATCCTCGATATCCTCGAAGGCGAATAACAGCGTGTCGGCGAGCAACGAGGCGAGAAAGAAGTGAAGGGGGGGAAGGAGGAGGGGAGGTCGTTGAAGTCAGCCGGGGGGGTGTCGGTCGATTCGATCGAGAGCGCGCGTTCCACGGACACTGGGGTGAGCGTGGACACCGTGAGGGGGGTGTCCTCGCCCAGGGAGAAAACGGGGATGCACGTGGTGAAACGGCCGCAGGAGATCGAGACGTTGAGCGGGAACGTGGTGCACCTGGAACAGAACGGCGAGCCAGCGTGAGTATAGTACATTCGTATTTATCATCCCTCCCTTGAGTGAAAAATTCTCATCTTCTCATGGATGGATAGGATCGAATTTCCTGCGCGTCTTATCTTTTCTGCGAGAAAGGAAAAGGTTTTAGAAAAGGTTCTTTTCGCGTTAGCATTTTACGTTTACGTTACGATCGATGGGAAATTTAGTCGGCTCGTAGTGATATTCGTAGTAATATCGATCGCGAGTTACTCGAAAACTACGAGCGACGCCACTTTTCATCGCGAAAAAATCTCGATTTTGTTCGTTCGTAATTCTCACGGAATCGTATTTTATATCGGGACCGGGAGAGATATTAATCTGGAAAGATGCACAAGGTGGTCGGTGACTATTTATGCCGTCGGAAGTGGCGATAAATCGTCGGCAGATCCGATGTGAATCCGATGTATTAAATAAAGGACACGGCGGTTGGATGTGTGCGCGTGTTGCAAGAAGGTTGCGCAGGTGTTGTGGGGCAAAGCGCGGACGCGACGGATCGGAAAATGGACTTATTAGTTGGAGGGTTGCCGCGACACGAAAGCCGAGCATCATTCTCAATTAAAACGAATCGCCTTTCCGTGATGGGGGCCGCGTAATAAAAAAGAAAAAAAGGAATCGCTTCCTAAGGAGTTACCTAAAACCTGCCTTCGCTGTACGTTTCGGTGAATTTCATTTACCACGACACGAAATCATTATTGCCCACGAGAACGCTCATTATCAATTTCCATCCCCGTGTAATGAACGATGAATGAGCGAAGATTAATCCGTAAATATCGCAGCATTTATGAAGTGGCCCCGCTTCATTAAGACCGTGTAATCGCCGGCAAGGATCACGAAACGCGATAGTTTATTGCCAACTTATTTACCGTTACGTCTTTCGCTACGTGTGTAGGTTACCCTTACAATCCGTCCCTGAATAATCGGATTTTACGAAGCAAGAATTAATCGTGCGCTATATAAATAACGAGAGAATGTGGGTTAAGTAAAAATGTGGGATTAAAAGATGTGGGAGAGGGAGAGAGTGTTTCCCTTTGTTTGGTTAATTTTAACTTTTACCCTTCGATTAACAAATTAATTTTCAAATTAATCCGATCGGGATGAGTTATCGTTCAATGATAAATTGAATCATCACGTTTCTTTCTTTCACGATTCCTTCGTACAATATTGATAATAATGTATTATTAACCGTACAAAATTAATTTGGATTGGAAATTTTTTAATCTAATGGAGAAATAATTTTTTTTTTTTTTTTTACGCATAATATTCATACATTTTTCGACGAAAAATAAAGCGAAAGGTCTCAAAGAAAGGTAAGAAGGAGGAAAATAAAAATGAAAAAGGATCGTGAGGGAAGTTGGCCGTTACAACGGTTGCTATTAAATTGTTTCACAACTTCTACTTCTATGCCGGGGCGGGGATCATAGACAATGTGGGGGAAAACTTGGCCCATCGTAAGATCCACAGAGTTCCTTCACCCCGTGTTAGTTATAAAGCACCACCCTTTCCAGTGGTCGATGCAACCAAGCTGGGTTTATCGATCCCGCGGAGATTTACATCGCCACGGCCTGGCTCAAGGGGATTATAAATCAGAATTTCGAATCGCCTCGTTATACGAGCGTCGCTAATTAACTCGAATTGGTAGCTGAAGGAAGAATGGGGAGAAGGGGAAAAAAAAAAGAAAAAAGAGAATGTTGAAAACACGAGACCGTTAGACCGTGTCCATCTCGTTCACGCCTCCGAACTGTAATTTTTTTTCTCATTTGACAAACCGTATTTTTTTTTTAATCCGTACCGTTTCATTGAAAAATTGTTGAAAAGTTGTGTAGACGTAAGAAAAAATCGGGATTCAAAAATTGACTGTCGCAATTTTATATTATATTATTTTTTTTTTTTACATTTCAAAGGCTTTTTGAGAAAAAGGAATAATTATATTATCTATTTGCTTCCGAAGAGCAGGATGAATTTTCACTAAATTTCACAGGTATTTTATATGGAGAGCCTTCTTTTCGAGCCAAACAGTTGCAGTTGAAACGTGACAAAATTGTACATATAATTCGCAGTAGGCAATGAGTGTGCAGTGTTTTACATCGATTTTACGATATATACTGTGTGTGAACCACACAGATCGTACGTTGCATTTCTATTTATAGTTAAAAATTTATCAACAATGATAATGATAGATCGATAAAACGAATTGTAACACGTTTTCTATTGCGGCCAATTGAACCAATATTGTTAGGGTATATTTTTCAAATCGTTTCGAAAGCGATGATCGTGCCGCTTTGTCGTCGGTATAAATAAATCTATCGTATATCGCGTTGTTTTCCTATATCGATACGAGGTGACTCGTTCTCAACTCGTAATTATAACGAGATTAAATTCTTTTTACGCGACAGACCCCACACGCAGACCCTGTAATCTCGTACAGCCGAGATTTTATTACAACCGGCCACGTTAAAAGTGAGTCACAGGGAACCGCAATAGCGTGACGATGCTGCGTATAATCAGCGTATACGAATACGCTGAAACGTCTTTACAAATATGACCGAGGAAGGACTAGGACTCTCCTCGTGAAAATGTTCGGATATTCATTCATTGAATAATTCATCGAATCTCGTCCTGTGTACCTTTATTCATCGAACTAATTCTTCGAGTGGGAATTAAATTGGATTATTTTCAAATTACCACCCCATTGCGACTGTGAGTCGTTCTCTATTCACCGTTTTTAGTTCTTTCTCGATAAGAGGAAATTGCAATGTATACAATACAGAATTAATTTTTTTTTTTATAATAAGTCCCGGTAAATGTAAAACGGGTACTTCGTATTTTTTAGGAGACATTACGGGAACAATTGCCTCTTCGTATAATAGAAACTCTTAGATGAAATTTAGCGTGAAATATAGTTGGCGGTTTAATTGTACGGCGAGCTAGCGAGTTTTGAACGCGAAGACACAATCCTTCCAACTATATTTAATCCTTCCCAATTTTAGTTTCAAACGCCCACGCGAAACTAATTATTTCCACCACCTTAACGACGAATTATCCACCAACGTTAAACCCAACAGAATTTCCCTCTCTAAGGAGAGAGCGCGCGCTAAGAGAAGCTTGGATTCGACTCGATCCAAATCGATCACCTTTTCATCTTCGGCTCGAGACCAGATCGAGAGCAAAGAAGCACCTATCCTTCTCAGAGGTGCTCTGAAAATAATCTTTGCCAAACCCAAGCACGGAGGCGCACAATATCGTCTTTGCTCGTGCAGGCATCAGCCTGGTGTGGTTCGAGCAAATATTATCACATCTATTATTAGTCGATCGTCGGTTGGCGAACGGGATTCCTCTAAAAACATGGTTACACGTGCACGCCATTTCCGGCCTGTTGAACGTAAACGCTACGCTAGTTGCCGCGATCGATCCCTCTTTCGTTTTGCTCGCATCGAATTCCGTCGGCCCACTGTTCCATCTTCCAAACCCCTCCCCTCCCTTCTCGTTTGTTGCGCCATTTGGAAAATGGAAATACTCTCTCGGCAACGGTTTTCACTTATTTCTCGAGGTGAAAAATATTTCTTCTTTTTTTTTTTTTCCCCCTTTAACGCGCGAGCCCGTTATCTGCGATGCGAAGTTTCTCATTAAATCTTCGGAATCACCGAGATTCCGATGGTTCTCTCCGCAGAGAGGCGGGGCGAGCTCTTCTTCGAGCAACTACTGTACGTCTCTCCTCGACCAAGTATCATCCTCTTGTCAGACTTCTGTGAAATTCTCGCGGGAAATTCTTGGACGTTGACCTACGAATACCTTTTGCTCGCAACATATGCGCGATTGAGAAATAATAAAGTGACGAGTTATAAATAAATCGTGGTTCTCTTCGTCGTTGTTGTTGGGATGAATTTGGAAGGAAGTTGGAAAGTTGTTTCTTTTAATTAAACGAACAACGGTAATAAACGCGCGGATACAGTTGGACAACTGCGTGTTATTAAACGTACGTTCTAGATTTCTATTAAAATGCAAAGCAATGCATCGCGCAGTTAATCAGTTGAGCGTGATTATTCTTGGTAGCAGGGAAAGGGTTCACCACGGAGGGGGGCAGAAAAGAAACGTAGATAAAATGAAATAAATGACCAATATTTTACGCTCGACGTTTCGAATGTTTCACAAAGGGGATCAATATTTCAGAATCTGGAACCGAGATCCTCGTAAATAATGCATAAAGCGATTCCAATAACGCGATCATCTTTTTCACGCGTCGAAATATATATATATATATATATATATTTATAATCTCTTTTCACATGTAAACGATTCTTCCCTCTGAGAGGAGAATTAATAATGTATGTTTCGTTTTTTCTGAAAAAGAAAATATCGCGATATAATAAAGCATGCGAAGCATATTCCCCGTAAATCAATCACAGAATCTCGAAACATTTTCTGGTATGAAAGTAATTGTACCGCGATTTACTTAACTACGAGTTACACACGACGATAACACACGTGCACCTCTAATGCTCATTTAATAAACTCCAAGTAATTTCCGTCTTCCAGCCACCATTTTCCAATCTCTATTTTTATTTCGTTCGACTCGCTTCACTTTACGATGATTTTCGAAAAATTTGATTTATATTTTACGTTTCGCGTAGAAAAATGAATAAGATGGTTGAAAAGAGTTCGACCATTTTTTCCTTAGAAAAGCAAAAAGAAAAAATTATAATTGCCTCACTTACTATTTATAATCATACAAATTCGATTTCGTATCGAGACCATTCGCGGAGACATTTGTAAACCACGCTGCCGAAACTTATCCCTAAAAAATTACAAAAAACATCTCAAATCGCATGGAGAGGAATTTGTTATTAAAATTCCAAGACCTTTTACCGATCGACGCTTCTAATCTCGCCATAAACCCGAATAAACATAACGCGTCGAAACGAGTCACCGTGAAACGATCAAGGATAGAACGAACAATATAAACGAATCGATGTACGAATTTCGATCG